TTTTCCAAATGACGCGATACACACTATAAAGGATAATTCCAGAGATTTTATGGAATCTGGTTCCTACCACCAATAGCTACGGGCAGTGACATAGCCACTGGGTAGCTCTTTTTGTGCTAAATAGATGATATTATGGCGCCTAGTTTCAACTCTTAGTCCGTTCAGAATTATACAGTCCTTTGAACGTATATATGTTACAGTCAAAACCCGTTCTTAGTTATGCACAGTTGAAGCTAGTTTTGACTAAGTGTCGTTGTCACAACTAGATATAACTAATGCAAAACCAAAATCAATGCCCAAACCAAAACCTAAACCGTTTGAGTTTTGATGGGGACTGTGGTTTGAATTTGAAATTCAAATACTCGATTATAAAAATCTATACTATTTGCGATTTTTGATTATCCGATCTGACAATGGGTAATCACAAGCGCCACCGCAGTTCTTGTTCTACATGTCTTTTCAGCGTTCTTGTTGTGTTGGTTTACTTCTTATTGATGTATCATTTACTCCTATTGAGGCGGTTACCAACGAATGGAATATGGGCATTTTTTATTATTTTATAACGTTTAGAACAAGAATGACAGCCGAGCTTGTCTTGATTGTTTGTCCATTCGGAGTAATAACAAAAGATACGTGGACTTTGTTATCAGCTCCAACATACATAAATGAAAAAAGAACAAGAATTACGATGGTCTTGATTATTTGTCCGATCAGATTATCCATAGTTGGGTACCCGCCATAACAACAGTGAATGATACATCAATAATAAAGTAAACCAACAACAAGAACGATAACAAGGCAAGAAAAATAACTACAATGGCGCTTGTCATCATTCTTTGTCCGATCGGCAAGAGAACCGACGAAATGTCATCTTGCAAACTAGGTAGTTTTTAGCGTGCGAATAGTTCATTTCATCTCCATAAAAAGCATCCATCTATGGAGGAATGACTCAACGAAATGACATGCATTGTTGGTTGCAGAAAGCCGAGTAGTCTGTAGTGTTTATCTCTGAGAAGATGTGAAAGAAAGAAAGTTGCATGTGTATAAAATCAGTGATACTTGCTATGTGAGAAATTTATTACTGAATAACCTGTCAGTGAAGTATATGTCTATTAGCTGTACCCGACAGGTTATTTATATGTTATCTTTTCTAAGGGTTGTGTTCAAAGTTATAGTTTACCATTTTCCCCGTTTTTTTTTTGCGTTTTTAAAAACTGTGAGAAGCATTACCGCGCTCGCATTGTGTGTAATCAAGTTACATCACAGAAAAATAGGAATGATATTAATTTGTATTTTCTACTTGACGTAAAATAAATTTCTATAAAATTTAAATGAATAGAAATAAAAATTAATGTTTACGTTTCATAAATATTCCTCTCTGTAGCCTATTTTTTCACCTGTTACTTGTAATATACTTCACCAACGAGTGATTATCTTTTCTTATCTCTCTCAATTATGAAATTCAGTAAATTTGTGTATGAAATTTTCAGAACGAAATAAGAAAAAGTGGGTGTGCAACTAATTTTTAGCTTTGAATACATCTCAAGTAAGTGTATTTGAGGAGAGAAACCAATTAAATTATCATTAACACAGATTACACTGGTCAACAAAATTTTAACTTTGTCGTGCCACACGGACTTTTTTGATATTTTTTACTTTAATTGGTGATTCTAAGAAAAAATAAATAGTTAAAAAAAATTTGCTAGACAAGGATTTTATTCTATTGAGTAATTTAAAATATTAAGAAAAAACACAGATCTCGTAAATCAAAAGTTATTTTTTTTATAAATGACTTAATAATCTAAGATTTTCTTGAATATTTAGCTTCTGGTTGGTCCCTTTTAATTGTCCAGCAGTAATCTGCTAACAAATTTGGGCTCCATTTGCCCTGGTACCGCTTTTCCATATTAGAAATGTCCTGATGGAACCTCTCACCGTGCTCGTCGCTGACAGCCCCTAAATTGTCAGGACAAAAACCAGGTGCGAGTCTAAAAAATGGATCTTAAGTGACATGTTGCAACCCAATGCTTGATATGACAATAATAGCTCGCTAACCAACTCTCTGTAGCTGTCACTCTTGTGGTTACCCAAAAAAATTGAAACAACATTTTTAAAAGCCTTCCATGCAGATGTTTCTAAATCGCTTAATTTTTCTTCAAATCTTGAATCTTTTATTAACTCCCTAATTTGAGGGCCAACAAAAATACCCTCTTTTATCTTTGCATCACTTATTTTAGGGAATTTTTCTTTTAGATACAAAAATCCACTCCCATTGCGATCCATTGCCTTCACAAAATTTTTTATTAATCCTAATTTGATATGCAATGGTGGTAGAAGCACATTATTTGGCTCTACAAGGGGTAAATACTTTACGTTTTTTTGCCCAGGAACTAACGATGCACGCGTAGGCGTTTATATAGTGATTAGTTCTGTCTCGGCTATCCCGTTAACATAAAAAGCAGCAAAACTTTGTATAACCCAGCTGAAGTCCAAGTAATAGTGCAACAACTTTAAGATCACCGCAGATTTTGAAGGAATATGTACTGTAATTTATTTTTTCAAGTAAAAGTTTTATATTTGCATAGGTTTCTTTCATATTTGCAACATGGGCCAGATTTACAGACGGAAGCTTATTTCCATTATGCAATAACACTGCTTTTAGACTTGCTTTCGAAGAATCAATGAATAAACGCCACTGAGAGAGATCAAAATCTATGTCCAACATTTTCATGATCTCATTTATGTTATTGCAAAACACCAAATCTCCATCCTGAGAAAAATACGTCCTGAAATGTTGATCACGGTTTCGAAAATAGCTAACTTTTGTATTATGATGTAGCAAATTCCATTCTTTTAGACATGATCCTAATAGTTCTGACTGCTTTTTTGACAAATTTAAATCCCGAACCAAATCATTTAGGTCTCCTTGAGTTATCAAATGTGGCTCGTTTACAATTCCTTTTAACTCAAAGTCATCGTCCTCGTCAACACATTCACCTGAAGTGGACGGTTGTGAATTGTTCTCAACAGACGTAGTTGCAACTGGTATTAGTTCTGGCAATTTTTTACAATGAGAGACTGGTCTTATAGCCGAAGATAAGTTAGGGTAAATAACTGTGCTTTTTTTCTTGTAATTTATACCTTTTATGTCTGTGAGACAAAAATAGCAATCTGAAACGTGATCTCGCTGTTCAGTCCATATCATGGGTACAGCAAACGGCATAGGTCGTGCACCTTTCTTTCAGTCAGTTAAATTTTTCACACACGTTATGCAACAGACATGAGGGGCCCAGGATTTGTCTTGATGGGCGACAGAAAAACCAAAACATTGTTGATAACACTCCAACACAAGATTCGTAAAATTTCGTCGTTGTTTTTTGAATGTTAGTTCTCCGCAGACATAACAAAAAGAGTTAGGATCATTATTACACTTCCTCGACATATTTACAGGGTTAATAAATCACAAAAAAGTGTTCAAATTCAACAACAAATATTTTTTATAAGGATTTACTTGTAAGCGTTTCTGTTAATTTACTGCCGTAGTACTAGTTATGAGTATTATCGTATCACAACAAATATGAGGCTAATAGACATATGACAGCTGTCATGTAATAATGAGGATAGACTGATAAAACAAAATTAGCTGTCAAAGTTGGTGTGGCAAAACCAGTGTTGACCAGTGTTATTAGCTCACAAATCCTTACTTTTGCATCTATGCACTGCCGTTTCTTTCCAGCTATATATACAACTTATAGCTTAGACCTCCAATAATGCCATCTCTGAATCAGATGTTGCATCTCATCAGAGTCAAACATTGACATCTGAGGCATCATGACGTTTAGGCAACACGTACAGCTACAAAACGAGTTTACCACAAGAGTACAACAGCTGGTGCTATGTTGACATCTTGTAGGAAAATATCCGTTGTGGCACAAAAAAACCATAAAATGTAAAAAAAAAATGATAAAATGTCATTTTTCAACATACGTAATACCCGTGCTGATCACAAAAATGACAAGTAGTATAGATTTTTGGAGTTACATATTTTGTTATCTTAACTGGAATTTTTGTCTAAAAACAGAAATGTATTAATAGATGACTCATACCTCACGATGATAAAGTATTTCAACTTGACATTTATTAATAAAAATAAAATAGTATTTATTAATTATTGAATGATAGCCAGGGCAAACGATAAAGCTCGTAGCGAAGTCCAAATATGTCACTTGCTGTTTACCTCAGTAGACGTTAAAATGTGATTGATGGATACTCGTGAAAAATAGGGTGCAAACAACATTTTTACTCTTGCTATAACTAATTTCCATAAAGTACTGTCTAATTCTGAATGGACTAATATTTGAAACTAGGTGCCATAAATAAGTTATATTGAACTCAAAAAGAGCTTTCCAATGACACCATACATGTAGCTATTGGAGATGGGTACTAAAATTTGCGACATTGTCCAGTCACCAGCACGGGTAGGCAACGGTGTGGCTGCGCGTTCAAATTGGCCAGGTCAGGAAGCTTCCATGCATTTCGCCTTGTTAAGGGAGGGCTCTAAGTAGCAGTATCTACTCAACTTCTCTTTATTCTGTAAGCTTTGCTTCTTTGGAGTTCTCACAGTAAATATACGTGACTCTTGACTGTAACATTTGTCGTAGGTGCGTGACCAGTCCAGCCAGATCCCCCTTGGAGGTGTCGGCGTTGTTCCGCCAGTGTGTTTGTCATAAGCCGCCGCGATCGACGCGTGTGCCGCGTGGCTATTGGCGGCGGCGGGGGCTGCCTCCTCGCAGCATCAGCCGACGCCCGTGGCGGCCGTGGCGTCGTTCGCTGCCGCCGCTGCCGCTGCCTCGGTAGCCGCATTGCCGCTGGTGCCGCCGTCCGAGCAGCATCAACGCTCTCACGCCAACGCCGTTAACGCTAACGCCGCCGCCACGGATCCCAACGCTGCCGCCGCTAACGCCGCCGGGTCGGCGTCGCAGGCCGCGCTCGCCGCCGCCATGGACTACGACATGCGCCTCATCGGAGAGGTGCGCAGGTATCCGGAGCTGTACGACGGTAGGCACAAAGACTTCAAGAACAAGGAGGTCAAGCACGCCGTCTGGTGCAACATTGCATATAAACTCAGGAAGGAGTACGACGAGGCTGCCGGTAAGTTTTCACCCCTTTATTAATGAAAGTGAGGTTATGGTGTGCGTCGCCGGTTACATAGTGCGTAGTGCGTTGTTATTTTGAATATTCCAACGCGTGATCGCAGCATCCATGTGTGTTACTGCAATAGCTGATATGTATGGGGTTGGGAGGAGAAGGGACGGTGGTGGGGCGCGAGCGCTATACCATTGTTTTGACGTCGTAGCCGATCGCCGTCGTCTTCGCACGGCGACGCTCGGCGGTGCGACGCGACGGTGTGGCGGCGAAGCGAACAGTGGCGTGCGGATTCGAACTTTCATAGGGATCATTATGCTTTGTGATATAATGTAGTATCAGTATATGAGTATCGTATGTTCAGTGATTCTGATTGCTTTCATAAAGCACTTTTGAAACAAAGGGGCTTCGGTGTTTCAGGATGTTAACTGGTCAGTTTTAAAGCTGATTGTGTATACCCAATCAAGAATCTAAGAATTAGGAGTCAGATTTCATTTATATCAGTTTGAGTTTGGAATTTTGTAGATTATGGTTTTATATTAAAACTTCTTTAAGAGCGGGGGTAGTTGTTAAGGGGACCCAATTATAAAAATCCCCAAAATTGTTCACACAATTATACTAAATATGCAAATAAATATGAGTTTTGAGATTTTCTTAGGGAGCGGCATGCCGTCCTGCGGGCGCCCCTGAATATATACTTTTATGCAATTACATGATTTATAAAAAGGACATATTTTTATATTCTAGTAACTACGAGGACTGGTACTGGTTGTTACAGGGGGTTCGCAGGCTTTCATAATAAAACATTTATAAAGTGACAGAAAACTAGTCAACTCCAACAAACTCTATTCGGAAACATCTAAGGAAATTCATTTTTATACCCGGGTACCAAACCGGAAGACAGGAGCAAATCACATCGTACGCCTTTATACTGGCGATGTCGCTGCGCGCGGATCCCGCTGTATACAAAGACACGCAGAGTTAACAGTGGCTTACGCTGAGTTTTGCTACTCTCTTCCGATTTGGTACCGACAGTAGTAGGTGGCCATTCATAAGGGGCTGTGTAGCCCAGTGTTTTACGGTGTCGACCTCTACAACATCGGTCGCATTTACTCGTGCAAAATAAAATGAGTGCATGCCTTGTTGGCGTTGGTTTATTCAATAATCTCTTATCCGTATATGATGAGTATCGTCTTGGTAAAAATTGTCAAAATTGCCTGGCTTTGCTCCACCACTACTAATGCTGAAAAGTCCATTAATCACGTGTGATGGTTTTTGTACCTTTTTTATCCTCTTCCCCTTGACGCTACAAGGTTATTGACTACCTCTGCCTACCAAAAATCTCGTGTAGATTTCTTAGTAAAGTAGTTTTGAAATGTAATGTATATCTTTAATCCATCATAGTTTCCACGGATCATTGATATATTGATTCATTTTATAAGCAGAATTTACGACGTATCATTTTTTATTGTACAAAGTGAAAAAGCCGAAACTTTATACAATGTACTAGACATAATAAGTTTAACAAAACTCAGCAAATTCAATTAATATCCAGATTCGTTTTTATAAACAATCACTTAAAAAAATAGAAAGTTATCGATTTGTGCAAAGAGCAAAACTGAAATAATATTGATTAGAATATTTCACGCCTGTTGTACATCCGCGTTACCAGAAGGACGTTTATCCCGATTCATCGAACCCCCAACGCCATAACCTACGATACATCGATCTTTATCACCCCCGGCATACACAAACACACTTCCCCTTTCAAAGGGGATGCTAATGTCTGACCCCTCTGTTTACGTTCCCCTCGTTGCTATTTCCACCACCATCTCTAACTTGCTGCGTTCGATCTGTTTCAGTGAAGGTGGTGCGCAGCCGCTGGAAAAGCCTGCGCGACTCCTACGTGAAGGAGACGAAGCACAGGATGGCCCTGAGCGCGGGCCAGAACGTGAAGCCGCGCAAGAATTGGCGATACAGCAGCGCCATGTCGTTCCTGGCCCCCCACTTGGCCATCGGCTTCCCCCTCCCCTCCAAGAGCAACGTCGACAAACAGGAGGAGAAGGAGGACGAGATGGACACACTCCTGGAGGAGCAGCAGCAGCAGCAACAGCATCAAGAGACCTCCGCAGCAGTAGCTTCAGTGGCTGCGGCATCGATGCCAGTCATGCCCAATCAGAACGGGAACGTGCACTTCCTTGGGGCCTTCCTGCAGGAATACCCGCCTAGGAACCCTCCCGGCATGCCTCCAACTGTCGAGACGGAGAACTACGACATAGACTCGTTCTTCAGAGGAGTGGCCGACACGGTGAAAAGATTGAGCCCCGTCAATCAGGTGAAGATCCAGAGGGACATCGTCAATTTGGTGCTGGACGTCAAGCTGAAGGAGTATATGAGCAGAGCAGGGCAGCCAAACCAAATGCCGCAATAGACTGAAGCAACAGCGGATAGATGGTTCATCGATAACACCGAAATAAATGGATGATTGGGCGAATGAATGTTTATTGGTTGTTTTGTACAATAGAATGCTTAATTAGATTGCCTACAGTAACGCAAATGTAACTTTAAGTTCTTGTACTATGTATTAAAGCTAATAAAAGAAAACGACTTGAAAAAATATGAGCAGTGCTTCTACTGCATAAGTGGAAGCAGAAAAAATAGCTAATAACAAAGATTTTGAGAAGAATTGTTATATATGATAGGATTCATTTACAGCGTATTGCTGAGATGTTGTAAGATAGAAGTTTATTGCTTCTATTGAACGTTCGTAAAGTGCCATATTTTTATGCAACTCCATTTATCAAAGACTTCTAAGATTATTTCATTGTTTGAACTTTTTAACAAGGAAAAAGGAGCTTCAATGGTCATTTGTTTTTCCTTCATATCGATAATTTTTAATAATAACACTTTAAAATCGACTCTTCAGTAGATATTTCATTACTTAAAATAAGCCTTGTTCAAAATAATGATTAGATTTTTGTTGAACTTGATCATAATATTAGCTCTCTATAATAAACATTACTAAAAAGAACTTTTTTCTAACACTTCAAGATTTACTCAATATACATTGTTTTACATATTCTTATAAATCGTTTTCATCTACACTAAGGTGCTTGGATACCATTTTTGCTTTCTTATACTGCTTATGATAATAGAGACTGTATTGCATTATTGAGTACAAAACAGAGCATACAGGTAGACATACACGCCCTTTCTCACTAGGTGAGTAAAATGTGATTTTTATCTTCCCTCAATCATGAGGAGAAAAATTCATTTTCTGTTGTTTTTCAGCTGTAGCAGTTGATTTGTGTGACTTACAAAAATATAACTTATAAGGGTTTATCGATGAACACGTTAAACTTTGCCAGAATTTCTGTTTATACTCCGTTGTTAGCCTTTTGTCTTTTTTTTATAAAAAATAAAGTATCTCAAGATTGATCTGATAAATAAATATTATATGTATATTTAACAAGGATTGTAAGCTTAGCTTTATACTAGCTAGTGACGTTTTTAGCTTTAAGAATATTATAGAACATTTAAGTTTGTCAATCTGCGATATAGAATGTATATTTTCATTTTTATAAAATAAAGCTGAACAATCTAAATATTGAATGTCTTTTTCTCAAATTTATAAAAAATCTTGATTCATCTTGATTTAACATTGGGAAAAATGAATAAAATTTTTTTTCGCCATATTAATACCGTGAAAACATGATTTCGTCAGAATAATTACAAATTCAGTTAATAGGTTATTGGTTGAATTAAAATTTCAGTTTTATGCCTTTATGAAGCTTCATTATTTATCACTATAAGGCAGTGGACAGTTTTACCATATATGTATTTGCATCATATTTGTTAAAAATTGATGCTGTTCATCGATGACTTTTCTTAGGATCCTTTAACGCTGACAAGATCGTCGGTGATCTAGCTGTCTTCTACCGCTATGTCAATGGGCTTTGCTGCTCAGAGCTCTCCTCCATGATGCCGCGGCGCGATGTGCCTGCCAGATAGGCCCGCCTAACTTCGGCCTCCCATCCTTAGCGTGTCGAACCTCGTATATCCAGAACTGGCTGATACGACCATTCCTTTGTCCCTAAGTTTTCGAGATTGTGGAACAATCTACCTGACGAGGCTTTTTCCAGTTCTACTAACCTTAGGTAATTCAAAAATCAGATTGTTTAGGCGGGATTTAGGCTTCTGCCTACGCGGCTGCTTCAATATAAAAAACTGAAGTATCTACTGGTGATAAAAATAAGACATATTTCTAATTTGCCATCGCACGTCTAACACTAAAATAGGTGGAATACTGAATTTAGCGTGAAAAATCCTCTGAGTCCCAACATGGATTATCAAATATTTGACATTTCTGGTCCAATCTTTACATGAAATGCAAATTTCCTCAAAAACTCCCAATATTGATACATTCAGTATCCCAAATTCGATAATGCATGTATATGCGTGATCCCCAGAAAGCATCTAGTAGCTATTACAAATAAACAACTCGCAAACAAAGAACATTGGGCCATTTTGTTGAGATTAACAAAATGGGTTTAAATAGATTGGCACTGTACTTCTAATGCATTCATATACGTCCGTTTAGTTTCAAACTCCCTTGCACGTAGGAAATACTTGATACTCGGAGAAAAACTTCTATGTATGTATGTAGAAATTGCGCCTTTTGAGAACTTTTGACACGCCCTAAAGTAATTATAAACTTGAAAAACGATGAAGGTTTTAATTTTACCTTTCTAAAAAATTACGTCAAGTAGGTTGACTGCACTTCCTATGCAACGCTGTTATCAATTTATAAAGGATTGGATTGTATTAATCTACGGTACCTATGATATATGAAATATGTCTACTAGGCGGGTAGAATTACGGGGGATGGAAATGTATAAGCTGCTAGCTTCAAAAAATTGACATACGTATATATTCTCCCCCACCCTCTACATCTCCCACCAGCCGATTTTTTGCACCTGTAAAAGGTGTTTTTTTCATCGTAGTAACCTTGTGTGCAAATTACATCAAAATCCGGGTATTATGTAATAAAATAAGGTTTTTTATAAAAAAAATACCTATAAAATATCATCTTGCAGGCTAGGCAGTTTTTAGGATGCAAACAGTTCATTCCACGTTTGCTCACTAGGATCGTTGTGAGCGTCCATCTATGGAGGAATAGCTCAACTACACCACTACATGCATTGTTGGTTGCATATGTCTTGTGATGCCGAGTAGTCTATAGTTTTCATCTCTGACAAGAAAGTTGGTTGAATAGCAAGACCGCATCTGGATGATTGTGTGTATTTTTCTGCATGTGTATACAATGAGTGATATTTTGCTGTGTGAGAAAATCATTACTGAATATGCTGTCAATGAAGTATATCTATTAGATGTGCCCGACGGGTTATTTATATGTTGTCCTTTATGAAGACAGGTTATGTATTACGATTTTTTGCGTTTTTTGTTTTTCCAAAAACTGAGGAGAATTACGGGAAATCACCGCGCCCGCGTTGTGTGTAATTACTGTTAGCATGTATATGGTATACTTGTAATGCGACAGTGTTCCGTAAATATAATTATTTCTCATCACTCTCATTTTTACATTTATCATCAACACATATTATTAGCACACAAATCTTCACTACGCACCTATGCAGTGCCGTTACCTCCAGTTATATCTCTGAAGTAGAATTTACATCACATCAGAGCCAAACATTGATAACTAAAGCCTCATGACGTTTAGGCAACACACACAACTACAAAACGAGTTCACAACGTGTCCTTCAACTAGTGCTAAGTTAAGATCTTGTAGAAAAACCTACATAATGTCAAAAAAAAAACAGTATAATGTCAAAAAAATCGGCATAATATCACTTTTCAAGATACGTGATACCCGTGCCGCACTTCCCAAGTTATAGACGGGTCAAGGATTAGCGGACAGACAGATCAGAAAAAGACCGACGGAAATGAGTGACATGTTTTTTTTTTGTGATGTACATGTCATATAACCCCTAAAAATCAATCTCATCCTTTTCGCGATCACAATACTCCCTCGCCAGTAGCGTAGGAAGTAAAATTACGCCCAAGCAGAAAATTTTGAAACATACAAAAACAAAGTTTGGGAACAATCTTAACTTTTTTTTGTTTTTTGCCGATATTACGACCTCACACTACATCCCTCTCCAAATTTCGTCAAAATCGTAGCCGTTTATGACATTACGCAGTTAGAAAATCACGAACAAACAGGCCCTTCGGAAATTACTATCACTGATTTTCCAGATCTAGAAGTTATGAAACCGAAGTATATCCAGTTTCTGTAAAGAAATGAACAACTTTTGGATCCTTCAGAGCTAATAAAAATATTACTTATGCACGCGATTTGTTTAGCATGACAGTCGACCGACAATGTTGGCTTTATTAGCGCCACATTTAGAGAAACAGTCACTTGTATGTCGAACATTGACAAATAATGTTATAGGACACAAATTGGGTACATGAATGGGCCATAAGGACAGCTTGTACTACATATCAGCAAATTTAAAGTTAAAAGATGATAAGAGAACCGAGTACTTAAAAGTCGGCACTTTAAATCCAGAATTTTTATCATTTTGTGAATGATACTCGTCACGTTTACCTCCAGCTTATGACGACATCACATCGCTAAATCAAACGCTCAGGTTGCACCTTGATATAGTACTATATCTAGCAGCAAATAATTGATTACTGGTCTGAGAGCCAATTAAAAGCTTTCCTGTTTTATCAGCTTGATACAACATTGCTTGTTTTGTTATTACATGAACTTAAGTTATAAGTGCTTAATTGACGTTTGTCAAGGGATTGCATCAAGCATTTAATCTTGTCTGCTCCGATAATTTTACTATCACGATCACGCTGACAACGAACGAACGCGGTTTATTTATACGGGCAACGTATCATGGAAATATTCCTGCGGACTTCGCCTTTTTTACAAATTCCTCTTCAGATAACGGCGTATGCTGATAAAGCGCTATTTTTAGACCGGAGTCTGCTACGTCGTTAGTCGCCTTATCTATGTGAATATATACAGAGTTGTATAGTTTACTTCCACTTTTCACTCATACTAAAATATGCCTTTTTATTTCTGGAATATCAAACTGTTTTCAAGACTTTTCTTCCACTGTTTCTCTAATTTGTCTTTGACAATAAAAATTCCAACGCAGAGGACGTAAGGAGGTGGCACAGATCAATGTTTCAGATCCTCAATATTGTCAAAAAGAGGCACCTAAGCGATTTCCCAGTTCACTGACATAAGCAGCAAAAGTTTTGGATGGGTTGAATTTATTCATTTTGTCTCAGTATTTGTTTGTCTACTCATTTTTACTCGTGAATTTCTCTCACTTTTCTCATTGTTTTGGGATGTTTCACAATGCAGTAAGCCTAATTAGACGCTCAGGTGTCCCACTAAATCAAATAATCGATATTTGTTGTATCGCCACTTCTCTCACTCTCTCTCTCTCTCATTTATGACAAATTCATTCGCTTTCACCCCTCCCCCGCTCTAGTTTTTTCAGACGCAAACACTAGCTTCCAGACGTGCTTAAGTTAAGCAACATCTCATACTCTTTAATTTTCATAAGAGCTTCCAAACTACTCATCTTACTGTTTTTTTTTTCATGATTTACATCATTTTCGTATTGTAATTATTTAATCCACAAACTGCATTTTGTGCTCCGAAAAACATCTTACGTTCATTTCACAAAGATATCAAATGGATCCATTGTAGGGCCAACATTATCTCTGCTTCGCATTAATGACCTCCATTCAAGCAGGCTACACCGACAATGTAGAATTATAGTATACGAAATGGAGAAAGGTAGGCAGATACCTACCTCCTTTCTATTTAGATAGATACATGCACAAGTTCTTGAGGATGGAGAATAATGCAATCGAATTTAGACCAGAAAGAAAGTAATTCTTTGTTTATGTCGAACTTTCGAAAATGACGCCGTACCACAAAGAATACTAAATGTCAAGTAAAGCTATTATAATACATATTAATGAAAAAACTGATTGCAGCGTGAAGTCCTCTTTCAGGACGACCGATTAAAAAAACGGAGGACAACCATTAATTAACGTACAACATCAAAAATGCACAAGCCACAAAATAAAATATTGATCAATATGAACACCTAGAGAGTGAAAACTTTAAAACTGTGGTGATGGAAAAATTTTTGAACGCTAAATTGGCGGTTTTTGAATATGAACAGCATATAACGACCAAGTTGAATTTTGAAATAGAAGGGTAATAGGAAGGTTCGACATCTTTCGATTTTCTCTTATTTTAATTAAAATCGAGGGATTTTGATTATTAGAAAACGGTCAAAGAAATTTGAGTGCAAAATACTAATATTTACGTCGACGGAAAGCATTTTAAAATCAAGGATCGACGCGAGGCTAGAAAACGTACCTGTACGCGAGACTAGACCGCGTGACGTCAGTAGCCAGACACGTGCTGTCGCCCTCATAGAGTACTTGTGTGAATGTGTAAATGGTGTACGAGTTTTTGGCAAATAATGCAAATTTAAATGAACCTCAGAGCAGCGGTATTAAAAGTAGTT